AATTTATTTATGTACAAGATGGAAACTTTAAACGTCATATAAAAGGATTACATACAAAAATTTCGGAATACGAAGAAGAGAGAAAACTAATAAAATGGCCATGGATGTATTTCAAGTATTCAGACGAATCATTTTTACAATGTATTATCTGTAATGAAAATTATCCCTCTACATGTAAGGCTGAAGATTTAGTAGATCACTTAAATTCGCATTCTAAAGAAGAACGGAAGAATCATATACTTCATAAATGGACACGGAAATATTGGACACAACGAAATGATTTTGAGGTGGAGTGTAATATTTGCAACAACAATATATCTCTTCAAATTCATAAACATCTGGATTTTCATATAAGAAAGAAACATTTGAACAAGTCGAAAAATTTGCAAGAAATAAATGACCCAGTTGATTCGTCAGAACGTGTTTCATCACTTGAAACAAACATAACTTTTATGCCACTAGATATTGCAACTAAAAAACATATATGGGAATATTATATAAAGTTGACGGATTTTAGAGCACAGTGCAAGTTTTGTGAAATTAAATATATTTATGCGACAGATGAATACTTTAAAAGACATATAAAGGAACACCATGAAAAAATTTGGGAATACGAAAAAGAGAAAAAACTATTAAAATGGCCGTGGATGTATTTCAAGTATTCTGACCAATCATTTTTACAATGTATTATCTGTAATGAAAATTATTCGTTTACATCTAAATCTAAAGATTTAGAAGATCACTTAAATTCACATTTTGAAGAAGAGCGGAAGAATTATATACTTCACAGTTGGCCATGGAAATATTGGACACAACGAAATGATTTTGAGGTGGAGTGTAATATTTGTCACGCTTACTTAACTCTTTTTATTCAGAAAAATATGGATTATCATATAAGAAAGAAACATTCGGACAAATTGAAAAATGTGCAAGAAACAAATGATTCTGTTGATTCGTCAGAACGGATTTCATCACTTGAAACAAACATAACTTTTATGCCACTAGATATTGCAACTAAAAAACATATATGGGAATATTATATAAAGTTGACGGATTTTAAAGCACAGTGCAAGTATTGTCAAATTAAATATATTTATGTGACAGATAAATACTTTAAAAAACATATAAAAGAACACCATAAAGAAATTTGGGAATACGAAGAAGAGAGAAAACTAATAAAATGGCCATGGATGTATTTTAAGTATTCAGACCAATCATTTTTACAATGTATTATCTGTAATGAAAATTATTCGTCTACATCTAAATCTAAAGATTTAGAAGATCACTTAAATTCACATTTGAAAGAAGAGCGGAAGAATTATATACTTCACAGTTGGACACGGAAATATTGGACACAACGAAATGATTTGAGGTGGAGTGTAATAATTTGCAAGAACACCATATCTCTTCAAATTTACATACATCTGGATTCTCATATAAGAAAGACACATTTAGACAAATTAAAAAATATGCAAGAAACACATGACCCAATTGATTCGTCAGAACGTGTTTCATCACTTGAAACAAACATAATGTTTATGTCAGTAAATATTGCAACTAAAAAAAATATATGGGAATATTATATAAATCTGACGGATTTTATAGCACAGTGCAAGTATTGTGAAATTAAATATAATTATATAAATGATGCACACTTTAAACGTCATATAAAAAGTTTCCATACAAAAATTTTGCAATACGAAGAAGAGAAAAAATTAATAAAAGGACCATGGATGTATTTCAAGTATTCAGATGAACTATTATCACAATGTATTATTTGTAATGCAGATATTCTGTCTACATCTAAATCTGAAGATTTTGTTGATCACTTGAGTTCGCATTCTGAAGAACAACGGAAGAATCATATCCTTCAAAATTGGAAACGGAAATATTGGACACAACGAAATGATTTTGAGGTGGAGTGTAATATTTGCAACAACACCATATCTCTTCAAATTCACATACATCTGGATTCTCATATAAGAAAGACACATTTAGACAAATTAAAAAAAAAGCAAGAAACACATGACCCAATTGATTCGTCAGAATGTGTTTCATCACTTGAAACGAATATAATTTTTATGCCACTAAGTATTGCTACTAAAGAAAATATATGGGAATATTATATAAAGCTGGCGGATTTTGAAGCACAGTGTAAGTTTTGTGAAAATAAATATAATTATATAGATAATGGAAACTTTATACGTCATATAGCAAAACTCCATGAAGAAATTTGGAAATACGAAGAAGGGGGAAAACTAAGAAAACGGCCATGGATGTATTTCAAGTATTCAAACCAATTATTTTCACAATGTATTATCTGTGATTCAAAAGTTCTATCTACATCTAAATTTGTAGGGGATCACTTGAATTTGCATTCTAAAGATCAACAGAACAGTCATACATTTCGAAGTTGGACAGAGAAATATTGGATACAAAGAAATGATTTTGTGGTGGAGTGTAATATTTGTCACGACAACTTACCTCTTTCTATTCAGGAATGTTTGGATTCTCATATAAAAGAGACGCATTCGGACAAATTAAAAATACGCAAGAAACACATGACCCAGTTGGTTCATCAAATCGCATTTCATCATATGAAACAGACAGAACGTTTATGTCACTGAAAGATTGTTATGTATTGTTAAAGAGATGTCCACCTTATAATCTTTACATATAAGAAATATATAAAAAATTTTAATCTCGAAGAACAACATTCATTTTTCAACTCATTTGCGTGAAATGTATTATTTGTGATGAGAACGATTTATTTGTATCTAAAAATTTTGAAGGTTATTTACGCTCGCATTCTAAAGAACAATTAAAAAACATACATTTCAGAGTTGATTATATACCAGGGGGTACATACCAAAAGTCATGATTGAAGTAAACTGTAATGCTAGTCACAGAAGCACATCTGTTGCTATGAGGACGCATTTCAATGACCATGTTAAAGATGAACATCATTTGGCAAGCCAACTAAACTGAAAAAAATGTTGTAAGTTTTATTGATATTATTGTTAATATTAGTATATATAATTAATTTTTCACCTTTTTCAAATCGCGTTTAATTTATTAAAAATATACAATATAACGATCACAACAAAATCAGACAATTTCTTTTTTAATGAATATTATAATCGTTTATATAGATTTATCCTCCCCCAGAAGATGACATGATAGAAATGAGTATGATGATAATGGCATCCAAGTACCAATTAGCAATAATGGCAGTCTTGATTTTGACGGTTTTAAATTACTAAAAGAACAATGGCGTATATATATGTGACGTATAATTATTTGTTTCATGTTACAAAATTATGAATATGATTTCGAATTTATGTTTTATAATAAACAAAATTACATTTTTTGATATATTAACTTTAATTATAAATTTTATTACGTACTTATGTTTTAAATTTATAAACTAATTAATTTTATTTGTTATCACGATTTGCAAAATATCATGCTTTGATAGCATATTGATACATCGTCGTGGCAAAACTAATGCGTGCGTTGAAATGACGAAGGCCAACTTTATAAGGTCATATGCTATACTTTTTCGATACAACTGCAATATAAATTGTGTATATGATTGAAAAATAATTAATATATATTAGAAAGGCAATAGAAATAAAAAATTATGAAGAAACAGAGAGAGATATTCGCTGAAATAATTATTATTCAGTTTTTTATATATAGATTCATGTACAGTTTTTACTAAATATATCCGAAGCTTATTTCTTAACGTTTAAGTCTACGTCAAATGTTGTTCGTATCATAATAATATTTTATATTTTTTAGAATGAGTATTGTAAATGAGATGAGTATCCCGCAATAGAATATTAGAAAAATCAAATGCACTTGATGTAAATCGATCATTTTGAACTTGTTCTGCTCTTTATTCTTTAGCCTGATATTTAGCGAACGATTCTTAAGAGCGCCCATTATGGCAACTTCGTTGAACTTGATAAGTCTGGAAAATAGTGAATGACAGTGAAAACGAAATTTAACTCATATAATAATTTCTTACATATTGGACATATAAGTAATGACCAATTTATTTGCGCGACACTTACGCTGAGTCAATGGTTTTCCTGTAGCGGAAGTTCTTTTTATGTGCAAACGTTATCCAGGTCTGATTGTAATTGCCCATAGATTGAAAGCCCATAGATTGAGCAGCCGCGCCTGTTCAATGCCATAAATTGATCCTCGATCTCAAGCAACGCATAAAAATGTTGTCATGATTCATAGGCGCCCGCAGAAATTTGTCTAGGTAGGGGCAAGTCTAAAATCTTCGAGGCTATGTTTTCACATAATATTCTGTTATAATAAAAAAAGCAGCGAGAAACCTGTGTAGCTTAAAGTCAAGATTTATATTGTTTAAATTAAAAATGTTTTTTGAAAAAATGTTTTCTACTTATCACACATTTTACTGTAAAACAACCCATTTATAATTGATAACAAGTGTACTTACGATAATACATTTCTAATATTTTATTTATAACTTCGATGAAACGGCTACACCAACGGGTATAATGTATAATAAAACTATTTAATAAAAATATGCAATTTTGTATCACATAATGAAGCACGATCGCAACGTCTAAAAAGTGGATTTCTTGAAAAATGTTAATAAATACAGTCGCATCTTCGTTAGCCTGTCGACTATATAACAATGTTGCTAGATGGGACGTTTTTTTCGGGGATGTGCGAAAATAAGCGTCTCATTTAGCAACACTGCTACATAACCGCTAGGAGATACATTTTATTCACTATCGAAAACGTCCCGAGAGGCGCGCGATGCCGCTCGAGACAGACGCAACGCTGCACGACATTGTTTGTCAAAGTTTTTAACTTATACGAGTCATTCTGAAAAGTAACACACACTATATAAATATTATAAAAATTTTATTATTTTTTATTTAAAGATCGAGCAATGTACCATTTTATTAAAAAATTCAAAGAGTCATATTTCAGGGGGGGGGGGACAAATGCCACTTCTTGCCCCCCTTGCGGGCGCCTATGTCACGATTGCTTGAATTTATAAGCAAACATGATTTTTTCGATTACAAGAATAATGAAAGCTATTATTATTTCACAGCACATCACTTCAATTACTAAAGAAACTTGATCCATTCTGATCGCTTCCGTTTTATTGACATTAATATCGTTTTGCATTGTCTGTGGCAGCCGACGTTCTATCAACGCATCCAAAAGTCCAATTCCCATCAATTTGAGTATTCTATTCATGATTTATATGCTTTATATTTCATATGTAATCAATTATCATGATTGTATTATAATTCCTGTCGACGTTTTTGTTACCCATAATCAATAGTTCTTTTATATTTGAAATTCTTTGCGATGCCGGCAGCTATCCACATTTGCAAGTAGGGCCTTCCAACCAGAGTCAGGCGGCATATAATATTTCCTCTTATTTTAGACTCATCTTCACCTTGGAGTAAAACGTTACATTTTCCTTTCGTGGAACATGCCATTTTAAACATATCCTTGACTGTTGATACAGCGATATCGCTCCTCTAACTCGTATGTAAGTTTCACGAGTACTTACCTATAAATTAGAACAAATATATTCGTAGCAGAAAATTTTAAATCTAAGAGTTAATAAATTACATATTAATAAATGATAAATATTGTTATTTACCTTAAACGCGACATCTGCAATAGAATCCTTTAGATGCACGACACTATATTTAAAATGAGTTATCATAGAATCGAAAGAATCGAATGATGGTTTAAAAATACGTTTTGCCATATAAATAGACAGCCCAGCACCAAACGCCATGTTCAATAGAGAACAAAAAAGGCCCAGCAATATTTATAATATTTTTGATCTTCTAGCAAGAGAATGAGGAATATAGCCTATTAAAAATATTTAAATCAATAATTTTTTTATATTTAATAAATGAGTTTATTAATGTTTTTTTCTTAATAAAATTATTTTTTTCTTAATAAATAATTTTTATAGAAAATTTTAAATTCATATATTTAATTATAAAAATATGTCAAATTCTTTAATAAAACTTTAAATAATTTTTACATTGTTACTCTATTTTGTTGCAATGTATATTTTTTTTATAATAAATTAATTTATTTCTGAACGAAAGCGAATAATATTGCTCTTAAACTGATTATTCGTACGTACTTTGATTGCAGAGATTTCCGAAATTATAAACAAATGTTCACTGAAACGCGCAGTTGCATATTTATGTTCATTTTGTGGTGAAATATTTTCTGTTAAAAAGGTGCGTACGCTTAGTAGTATATGCATAACGAATATGCCACACCATATTTTTCAAGAGAAAACTTTTATCATCCATGCATTATCGGGCATCATTTCGCGACGAATGTACAAATACTGTTTGTAAAATTATTTAAAATTATTATTAATATTATGATACACTTGAGTTATTAAGATGTCATCGATATATCGAAGCTGCTAAATTTAGAGTTAGCAGTGATTTCTTATTTAGAAATAAAGATTTCTTGATTAGAAATTAAGAAATTGAATAATGCGAATAATGATGGTATGATATATAAATAATGGTGATATTATAATATTATTTTTCTTAAACATATAATTATAATATATGATGCTTTGTAACTAAAAAATGTTAAATACCGCGCACAGTGCGCGCTTGTGTCCTTAGTTTAATAAAATTACTTAAGAAGTCATTTTTGGATCAAAACTTATCGAAATTTTTTAAAACTCTTATTTTCACTTAACATATTTCGCATTATTTAGAAACGCCGAAATTATTTTTGTACACAGACGAATAACTTTGTCAAAATACGTTTTAACAAAAATATTGAAAATATTTACAATATTAAATATTCTCTATTCAAATTCAAGTATTTAAAAATAAGCTTAAAGCTTTAAGAACTATTATTGATGAGCAAATAAGAACAGAATGATAATACGAAATTTAAACTAATAATTCGGGGCATTTTGTAAAAAAATATCTATGATAATGCAATATCTGAAAATAAATCAGAATAAATGCATAGGTACATATAATAATTTGTTTATGCACTCATATCTGTTGAGTCAATCACATCTGTTTATTTCTGCAATCAGCATATTAATTCCATTTAACATAGTTATATAATTAAAAAATTACGCGTTTTTCTTGATATAGCCATAAATTGAAAGTAGTTTTATTTTTTATAAATAAAATATATATTCTTTGTGCAATATTATGCACAAAACCATATATTCGTGTATATGCTGTAATGTCTCTTTCGCTGAGATGTTATTACTATACATACTCAGTATGAGATGTTATCGAGTGTTTTGATAATTGTTAGCTAGAATTGACTGACATATCAATATTTACATTCAAATGGAAAATCATGCGTCTTTTCTCGTTTTATACTTTTCGACAGAAAGGTTCTTGTATCGTATTCAGTTATACGAGTCCAGTCACTTCAAACGGACACAATGTCACTTATAACTAAAGAACATATATGGGAATATTATATAAATCTGACGGATTTTAAAGCACAGTGCAAGTATTGTGAATTTAAATATAATTATATAAATGATACAAACTTTAAACGTCACATAGAAAAAAACCACAAAAAAATTTTGGAATACGAAGAAGAGAGAAAACTAAGAAAATGGCCATGGATGTATTTCAAGTATTCAGATCAACTATTATCACAATGTATTATTTGTTATGCAAATATTCTGTCTACATCAAAATCTGCAGATTTAGAAGATCATTTGAGTTCGCATTCTAAAGAACAGCGGAAGAATCATATCCTTCAAAATTGGAAACGGAAATATTGGACACAACGAAATGATTTTGAGGTGGAATGTAATATTTGTCACTCCAAGTTTAGTCTTTCTATTGAAAACCATCTGGATTTTCATATAAAAAAGACACATTCGGACAAATTGAAAAATATGCAAGAAACACATGACTTAGTTGATTCGTCAGAACGTGTTTCATCACTTGAAACGAACGTAACTTTTATGCCATTAGATATTGCAACTAAAAAACATATATGGGAATATTATATAAATCTGACGGATTTTAAAGCACAGTGCAAGTATTGTGAAATTAAATATATTTATATAAATGATACAAAGTTTAAACATCACATAAGAATATTCCATAAAAAAATTTTGGAATTTGAAGAAGAGAAAAAACTAATAAAAGGGCCATGGATGTATTTCAAGTATTCAGATCAACTATTATCACAATGTATTATTTGCGATGCAGATATTCTGTCTACATCTAAATCTGAAGATTTAGAAAATCATTTAAATTCGCATTCTGAAGAACAACGGAAGAATCATATCTTTCAAAATTGGAAACGGAAATATTGGACACAACGAAATGATTTTGCGGTGGAGTGTAATATTTGCAACAACAACATATCTCTTGATATTGTAAAAAATCTCAATTTTCATATAAGAAATAGACATTCGGACAAATTGAAAATTATGCAAGAAACACATGACTCTGTTGATTCGTCAGAACGTGTTTCATCACTTAAAACAAAAGTAATATCTATGCCACTAAATATTGCAACTAAAAAACATATATGGGAATATTATATAAAGTTGACGGATTTTAGAGCACAATGCAAGTTTTGTGATAGTGAATATTATTATGCAAAAGGTAGAAGCTTTAAACGTCATATAGAAAAAGTCCATGAAAAAATTTGGAATCACGAAGAAGAGAGAAAACTAAAAAAATGGCCATGGATGTATTTCAAGTATTCAGACCAATCATTTTTACAATGTATTATCTGTAATGAAAATTATCCGTCTACATCTAAATCTGAAGATTTAGAAGATCACTTAAATTTTCATTCTAAAGAGCAACGGAAGAATCATATACTTCAAAGTTGGAAACAGAAATATTGGACTCAACGAAATGATTTTGAGGTGGAGTGTGATATTTGCAACAACAACATATCTCTTCAAATTCGTAAACATTTGGATTTTCATATAAGAAAGACACATTCTGACAAATTGAAAAATATGCAAGAAACACATGACTTAGTTGATTCGTCAGAACGTGTTTCATCACTTGAAACGAACGTAACTTTTATGCCATTAGATATTGCAACTAAAAAACATATATGGGAATATTATATAAAGCTGTCAGATTTTGAAGCACAGTGCAAGTATTGTGAAAATAAATATAATTATATAGATAATGGAAACTTTATACGTCATATAGCAAAACTCCATGAAGAAATTTGGAAATACGAAGAAGGGGGAAAACTAAGAAAACGGCCATGGATGTATTTCAAGTATTCAAACCAATTATTTTCACAATGTATTATCTGTGATTCAAAAGTTCTATCTACATCTAAATTTGTAGGAGATCACTTGAATTTGCATTCTAAAGAACAACAGAACAATCACACATTTCGAAGTTGGACGGGGAAATATTGGATACAAAGAAATGATTTTGTGTGGAATGTAATATTTGTCACGACAACTTACCTCTTTCTATTCA